TGGGATCGAGATAGTGAAGAGGGGTGGGATGCTACTTCCCCATCTCACTCCTGCAGACCTCTGAGCTGTCAGGTAAGGCAGAGGTGGAAGCAAGGTCCCTTGATGGCTCAGAACAAGTCCACATGGGCTGCTTATAGAATCGACTTTGTCTTAATTCCTACTTGCAGGGTTTCCCTCAAAACCCTGAGATCACTGACAAGTTAGTTCTTGCATCAAAGCAACTGGGACAACCAAATGGAAAGAAAATACTGAGGAAGGAGACCCTCAGAGGTTTGCACAAAGAAATCAGGGCTGACTTGCAAGGTCAGGAGAGAGAGGGCTTGGTGGAACCGTTCCAAATGCACAAAGAGACCTGCTTTGCTTCTTTCCCATTGTTCTGTTCTTGACCTATAAGATTCAGGTACCCCTACGGTCTCAAGGACCTTAATTTAGTTCCTGCTTAAACAGTGATCAAACTCAAACAGTAGCAAGAGGTGACTTCAAATGAAAGGGGATGGCTCCTCTCAGAGCAACCTGAGAGATTCCAGGTAAACCAAGCAGTCAGTGGGGCTTTCATTCTTGATCTTTGGTTTGGGTGGAGGAAGAAGAGAAGGCTCGAGAGGAGCAGTTAGGGTTGCAGGCATCCAAAGGAAGGAGAGCCAGGCACTGCCACCATTATCTCCAACATCTAGAGATCAGGGATGCACAAGGAGCAACAAAGACAGGCAGAAGAAGACAAGAGGTAAGAAAGCTTATGGACCTTTGGTTTGAGGGCAACAGTGTAGAATATCTTAAGGAATCAAGGTGGAAGAAGGCAAGTCTCGGCAGAGATGCCCATTGAGAGCCTGGCAATGCACCTCTGATTTCCTTCCAAGTATGGGCAACAGGTCCTGAGCATCAGTCACCTACAAGAGGGAAGCCTGGCCTGACCCTGAAGCTTGGCCTTGTCACGCTCTAGGCCATAGAGCCACCCTCAGGCCTGGCCCAGCTCCCCACCAGCCTCACTTCACCCTGTGGAAAGCTTTCTCTGGAGCGCTTATTTGAAGTCCAACTCAGCCAGCTCCACCCTAGCATGAAATCTGAGACTAAGGATAGAGCTCTCAGCCTTTTCCCCATTCCAAAATTCACTCCAATTTCAACTGGAAGTGAGAGACATCAGATTGGCTTCCTACCCTTTCTTTAAGGCCCTGTCCCAGCCCCACATCCTCCATGAAGACTGTCTAACCCTTTGCAGTCTAGTATGCTCATTCTTCTTTGACACTGCCACTACCACCACAGCCAGGGCTGCAGAGACCAGCAAGAATCTCCTGTAGCCTTTACCTTCTTTCCATCTAATTGGGTACTTAACACTTTGGTTTATACTGTTGGTTATGTCTGCATGTGTTTGGTCCCCTTCCTAAAGTATAAACTCCATGAAGGTACATCTAGGCTATGTTTCATACTCCTTTGTATCACCCACAACATCAAACGAAATGCTTTCTTGCACAATTAACTCTAAGCCAAATCCAATGCTATTGAGTCGAGTACACCATTTATGGATGCTGTAATCCTTTAAAAGAGGAGGCTGCCTTGCTTTTTCCTGGGGAGTGCCTATTGGATTTGAACCACAGACCTTTCCGTTAGCAGCATAACACATAATGTATGATGCCACTGGGGCTCCTTATAATCTGACACAATTAGGTAAATGTAGATTAATTAGACTTAAAAGTGGCACAAAGACAGAGCCAAAGAGTCATAACTCTTCTGAAAACAAGGGGGGACCTCAAAAATGAAATAAAATACAGTGAGCACAGAAAATAGAGGGAAGGTAGCCAGTGTCTATTTGGTGTTTTCTGTGTATTAAGCACTAATACGTGTTTTTACATGTTCTCATATTTAATCCTTATGATTAACTTTATGTGCTACCAGAGCCATTTTACAGGTGAGAAAATCAAAGTTTGGAGGTGATAATGAGCATTATCAAGGTGGTAAAGGTGAAAAGTGGGGTCCAGGGTTGAAACTACAACACTTGAGTGTAAAGCTCCAAACAGTCCACTTAGCCTCTTGTGCATCCCAGGTACACATGGAGAAAGGTAACAGCTAATGTCCTGGTTTGCTCATAACCCAGCTAGGGTGCAGGGAAGCAGGATGTGGGGTTGAGGTTGTCTCCCTCCCACTGTCCTATTCCTGCAATTTGTTTTGGGCCATCCATTCAGAGAAGGGTGTAAAGGAAAGGAGAATCCTTGAATTGGATCCCCCCAGAGTCACAGCCTCTCTTCTAGAAAAGGTACCACAGCCCCTGGCTCTGGTTATTTAGAGACAGGTTGAAGTCAGAGGCAGGAGGTGGGGGGCG